ATATATATATATATATATGTACCGAAGAGGGTTTAGTTTAACTGAATTTGCTCTGTCATTTTTCACCCACCTGCAGTAAGAGCATGGTAGGGCGACCCAGCTTACTAGTCTCCTAAACCAGGGGTCCCCAACCTATAGTCTGCAGCCCGGGACCGGGCCGTGGGCTCTTCGCCAATGGGCCGTGGAAATGGCTGGCCGGTGTGTGCACGTGTGGGTGAGCATTTCCTCCTCCACTTGAGCCAGCGCCTGCAGCCCTGTTTGCGCATGTGTGCGGGCACGAATGGGAATGCAAGCCTGGGCGGTTTGTGCGGCCTATTTGTGCATGCACGAACGGGCCGCTAGCTGCCATGGGGGGTGCGCACAGCACCAGCGTATGCTGCATGCGCGAACAGGGCTGCTAGTACCGCGCCAGCGTGTATGGTGCCGTACGCATATGCACACCAATTTTAAAACTGCTCTCCTTTCCTCCGGTCCTTGAGTCCGGAAAGATAAGAGACCTCTGTCCTAAAGAGACCCTATCAGATTTTTTTATTCTAATTTCTCTTTTTTGGGGGGCAGGGCAAATACGACGAAGAAATTGAGGTCTACAAACATCACTTGGAGCAGACCTATAAGCTTTGCCGGCCCTGCCAAGCTGCCGTGGAATATTATATCAAGCACCAGAACCGCCAACTTCGGGCCCTTCTCCTCCGGCACCATTTTAACAATCGGAAAAGTGACAAGACTTACATGCAGGTAGGAAGAAGGGTGGTCCCCATCTGGGCGCTTTCTTCTGGGACTGCAAAGGGCCCCCTTCGTTCGGGGCAGAGAAGAGGCTGAGCCCCCTTTTTAAAAAAAAAAAAAAAAAGGCAGGGGAGACATCCTGAGCTGGTTTATCCGACGAAAGGCTGTGTTTGTTGAGCTTAGTTTTTGAAAGCCAACAAGCTTGCGTGGCAACTGAAGTGTCAGGCACATTTAGAAAGTGTCCCCCCCCCCCAAGTTGCCCTTGCACTCTTGGGCTTTAAACCCAGGGAGGGGGTTTGAACCCCACCCTGATTGTAATCTTGAAGTATTTCACCTTTTCTTATTTGAGGGCCTCGGATTTCAGCTGCGCTCAGGCAGCTTGGGACTGAAGGGGCTGAAATCTTGGCAGTCCTGCTGGTGTGATTGTGGTGCTCCATTCTTTGCCATTCTGCTGGTGTGATTGTGGTGCTCCATTCTTTGCCATTCTGCTGGTGTGATTGTGGTGCTCCCTTCTTTCTCGGATGATCTTTTACACTAAGCTCTAGTCTTTTTTCCGGCTGTATGCTGGAAGGGACCTCGGAGGTCTTCTAGTCCAACCCCCTGCTCAAGGCAGGAGACTTTGTACCATCCTGGTCAGATGGTTGTTTATTTTTGAAAACATAACCCCAGATCTGTGGTATCTGAAGTTTCTTTTTTTCCCCGCAGAGCTTTTACGCCTCGGCTTCTGCAGGGAACACCACCCCATTACGCGTGATCCTTCTGCGGTTCCTGGCGTTCCTCAGTTGCGCGATTCTCGTGGTGATGGCCCTATATGGGTCAGGAGACCCATTTTTCTCAGGATCTGCTACATCGCCGGTTCCACCAAGCCCAGGTCTGTCGAGGAACAAGACCGGGCCACCGCCACCACCGCTGGTGACCCTGCCACGTAACGGCACCTTCCTGGAATCGATGGACTGGCAGGAGGCTATCCAGTCACTCTCAGCGCGGGCCATGGAGATCCTGGAACTTGCCTGGATCTACGGGAAGAACCACCAGATGGCCATGGTTGTGTTGGGGCTCTTCACTTGCATCCTGGCTATGTTGCTGGCAGGACGGATCAGGTACGATGAAGTGGCCCGTGCGAAGGACTTTGGGAAGCAGAGGAAGCCAACAAATTGTGATGCAAACACTTGAACCCTAGATCAGAGGTCCCCAACCTTTTGGGCATCAGGGACCGATTACATGGAGAAAGGTTTTTCCACGGACGGGAGGGTGCGTGGTTTTGTGTGCTGCCTGCATCCTGTGGATGGAGCTTTCCTTGTTTGTGCAGACCGGTTGTTAGCATGCCGCAGCCCGGTACTGGTCCACAGACCGGGGCTTGGGGACCCCTGCCCTAGATGTTGAAGGGATGCTTAAGTATCCTGCATTTTAGCCCCAAAGCTTCCCAAACAGAACTGCAGCACGATAACGAAACACTTACAGCCTAGATAATTGGTGTAGAGAAGCAAAAATTAAGCCTGATCTCCCTTCCTTTCGCCGCGCCCTCAAGACTTGGTTATTCCAGCTTGCAGGACTGGCCTAGGGTAATTTTTAGGGGGGTTTTAATTATATTTTAAATTCGACAAATATTTAATATTCTTTTTAATTAATTTTAAATTTGTATTGTTTTGTATGTATTTTAAATAGATTGTCAGCCGCCCTGAGTCCTACGGGAG